GCATCATGCCTTTTCCAACAACCCAATATTTTTTTTTCTGAGGTAGGGGTGTAATTTCATTGTACCTAAAAAATATGTGGACAGACAGTTGTCTTGATATCATGAAGTCAAACAGGTGGGGGGGGGTAGTTAGAAGAAGATTTACAATAGTGATGACACTGGCATCCACTTACAGAGCACTGTCCATTCCCCAGCTAAGAGCCAGCCTCAGCTGTGATCTGACTCATAGTAACCCTGCAGGGTGGTTACTGGCAGATCTAGGACTTTCAGATCTTCCGGGTCACGGAGCATCCCATCTGTGAAAGCAGAACTCTGACGACAAAGCTGGGGTCAGAACTGCTCATTCAACACCATCGTACTCACATTGTGAAATCAAGGCTTTGAAAATGAGTGCTGGTAAGGGCAGAAGATGATGAGGACTAGCATACGATGGCCAAGATGGTGTTCCATTGGGAGCAGTGACACCTGGCCTCTGGTCTCCCATATCGCAGGCTAATCTTCGTGATATTCACCCCAATGCTGTCCCTTCTGCCTGTTCTCTAGGAGGATAAAATTGCTTGTGGTTCTCTGAACCAGTTCTCACCTCCATTTTTGACTCACTTTATCTCCTTCTTGTACAGATGTGAATTTGAGAAAAGAAACAAGTAAAAATACACACCCACATACCTGGCTTGTTATTGTTTTTCATTCCTCTTAAAGACGTAGTTTCATGCACTGAAGTCTGTCTTTTTCATTCTTTACTTTTCAGCCTAGGACACGTGATTTAAAATGACAGCTCAGAATATTCCTGAGGAAGAACTACCCTGTGACGTGGAAATGGAAGGAGTTCCAAGAGAGGGTCTCCATTTCTCCATTCTAGGTGACAGTTGGGACTGTAAGAACTGGGAGGGACATCTGAGGCAATCAGCTTTAACTCAGGAGAAGCCAAGGTCTCGGGAAGCAGTTTGTGAATATACTGGACTTGGGGGGCCTTTGAGTGCAAGTTCAGACCTTCCTCCATCTCGGAGGGTTCCTATAACAAACGGTTTCCATATACATGAATCAGAGGTCAGAAGTTTGCATTGTGACCCAGCTTTACAAAGTTGTCAGAAAGGTTGTGTATCTAAGAGAGCCAGTGATTCCTGTGGAAAAGCCTTCAACCATTCCATGGAAGTTATTCAACTTGGGAGAAATCAAATGAGAGAGAAACTCTATAAATACCCTGAAAATGTTAAGTCTTTCAATCATTTTACCCCTGTTGGTGAGCCAAAAACAACAAAAGGGAAGAAACTGTGTGAAGACAAGGACTTTGGGGACATCTTTGCCCTGACTTCATCTCTTAATGAAAACAGGAGGAGTCACCCTGGAGAGAAGCTGTACAAATGTACTGAATGTGGCAAATGCTTTAAACGGAACTCTTCTCTTGCTTTGCATCACCGAACTCACACTGGCGAGAAACCTTATACCTGTAATGAGTGCGGAAAATCCTTCTCCAAAAACTACAACCTGATTGTACATCAAAGAATCCATACAGGAGAGAAGCCCTACAAATGTACTAAGTGTGGGAAAGCCTTCAGTGATGGGTCAGCTCTGACACAGCACCAGAGAATTCACACTGGGGAGAAACCTTACGAATGTCTAGAATGTGGAAAAACCTTCAACCGAAACTCATCCCTGATTTTGCATCAAAGAACTCATACAGGGGAAAAACCGTACAGATGTAACGAGTGTGGGAAACCTTTCACAGACATCTCCCACCTAACTGTGCATCTCAGAATTCACACCGGGGAGAAGCCCTATGAATGTAGCAAGTGTGGAAAGGCTTTCCGAGATGGTTCATACCTCACCCAGCACGAGAGGACTCATACTGGAGAGAAGCCTTTTGAATGTGTGGAGTGTGGGAAATCCTTCAACCGTAACTCTCACCTTATTGTGCATCAGAAAATCCACTCTGGGGAGAAGCCCTACGAGTGTAAAGAGTGTGGTAAGACTTTCATTGAGAGTGCTTACCTCATCAGGCACCAGAGAATTCACACTGGCGAGAAGCCCTATGGCTGTGACCAGTGTCAGAAACTTTTCAGGAACATTGCTGGCCTCATCCGGCACCAGAGGACTCATACTGGTGAGAAGCCCTATGAGTGTAGTCAATGTGGCAAAGCTTTCAGGGACAGTTCTTGTCTGACCAAGCACCAGAGAGTTCACACTAAGGAGACCCCATACCAGTGTCCAGAATGTGGAAAGTCCTTCAAGCAGAACTCTCACCTGGTGGTACATCAGAGACTCCACAGCAGGGAGAGTCTCAGCCAGTGTCCTCAGTGTGGGAAGAAATTCAGAAGGAACTCGGCCTTTATTCGACATCAAAGAACACACTCTGGAGAGCAACCCATGGAAACATAATGAATGTGGGCCACACTCATCTCCTGAATGCTCTAAAAAACCTGTGTGAAAGAGGGATGTCTTCATGGGTGACTCCTCCCTGTCAGTATAAAATAATTTTTTTTTTAAGGAAAAAGTAAGTCAACTGCAATCCTACTCCCTGAGATAATCATCATTAATATTTTGGTGACCATCCTTTCCCTGCTGTTTTTATGTGTACATAATTTTGCATGGATGAGGTTACATAATACACATGGTTTTTAAATATAGAAACTTATTTTTCTGTATATTTGTCTGCTATTCAGTCAATTAATGAATGTGAGACACTCCTTACCTATACTATTAAGTCACTACGTTAGGACACTCCTGGAAGGAATACAGGATACTAAGAAACATGGAAAAGACTTCAGGGATAATCAGCCTGTACCAAATGGGATACACTGGAAGAAAACCTGTGCATGACAGGAAGGTACTTTCCCGGAGACATCCAGCTGCTGTGGCGTCAATGTGTGTAAACTGGGAAGAACCTGTGAATATGTTTGTAACTAATCAATATGAGCAGTCCTTTCATCGGGATTGTCTGCCTTATCTCACATAAGCAAATTCTTACCAGAATCATGTGTGATCAGTGAGCAGAGCTTTTGGCAGGAGCTCCTGCTATCTTTTCTGTACCAGCAAAGACATGCTAATGAGAGCCCCCACAGTGCTCCACCCCACAGCAGCCTCAGAATTAGAGTGGATTGCTCTGAGAATGTATTTCTGTGTCACAGTACTGCCAGGTGCTCAGGACTCATTCCAGAAGGGACACTTGGATGAGGACATTGCTTGTGAATGAACAGTGACATTTTTTCTCTTAAGAAAAGACTGAAGTGGGCTCGTACTAAGATGGAAAGGGTTGCTGTTGAGAAATGTGATGCACTGCTTTAGTTGTTAAAAGAAAAAATACTGAGTTGTTATGTTTACCTTGTCTCCCCCAGTGTTGTTCACTTAGGAAACTTATAATTCGTTCCATGCTGAACCAAAAGTATAAAGGTTTTGTTGCTGTATTGAAAATGCTTGTAATATGGCAGGCAACAACAAGAAAGGCACAAAGTAGATGTGCTGTTATGATAGCCATGTGAAGGTATTGCACATGTCGCTGTAGAGTGGACACTGATCATAGAGTAATAAACGTGGTTTTCTTAGGGGACTGCAATTGTTTATGATTTTTTTCTCTATTACAAATTAAGCATTGTTGCTATCATAATTTGATAAGGAATAAAAAGGTGAAGCAAAAAAAGTGAATTTTGGGTTTCTTTGGACCTTTTTTACCAGATGGGGCAAGATCAGGGTCACAAGGCAGCTGTGAGCATGGATAGGGGATGACCAGGCAGAAGCTTTCTGGAATCAGAATGTCTTACAGCACAGGACATCAGTCATTTCTTTCTTTGGGACTTGGATTATGAGGGGGTGTCTCTGGAGGAGAGGATGGGCTTCAGGAGGCTAGATCAGTCTGGGATGACCTGGGCGTGTCCCTCTCGAGGCAGGTGGTACTGGCCAAGTGAGGGTGGTGCCCCTGGGGATTTTGACTTGCTCCTGTGGAGGGAGAGTCAGCGTGAAGGCTACTGAACTAGTTAAGGCTGAGATCCTAGACTTGTGTTGTTATAAGCTGCTAAGTTTGTGGTAATTGGTTATGACCTCAGTAGAAAACTAACACAACCTTAGAGAAAATTCCCACCTGCCCTTCCCTCTTGTCCTGGTCTGCCTTGCGCTTTTTGGGCCTGCTCCCGCTGACTCTCCAGCAGGGCCACTGCCGGTCTACACCTCATTTTCATGCACATTGGGAAACTGTCCACATGCAGCAGCTCATGCTCTGCAGACACTAAAACTGAGTGCTGGGCTTTATTACACCAGGTTAACAGCTGGAAGTTGGTGGATCATGAGGCCTAGTGCACCATCTTACAAATCTGGCCTGACTCATGGCCAGTAGGGCTATCTTTAACCATTCACATCCTGAACCCAGACCTTTCGCCGTCCTCCCATGGACTACTTCACTGACACAATCAGGAGCTCCCATTGGTAAGCTGATAATAGCCTCCCAAATCTATCTACATCCTAGTCCTTTCCAAAGTGGTCGTACCGTTTTGCTTTCCCACCAGCAGCAAGTGGCACTTCCCTTTGCTTTCTTGAAATGCCCATTTTTATTTTAGTCATTCTGATAGGTGTATATTGACTGTGAAAGTAATTTTCACCTCTAAAAAGGCAGCAATTCTGCTGGTTTGTTAGCTTAAGGTAAATTAGGCTGCAGTAGTGAGTGTCAGCAACAATCTTAGGGTTTGTTGGAGTAAGCTCTGTCATCCTGGAGTGTTGCTGGTCTCACGGCAGAGGAAAGGACAGGCAGACCCAGGCAGAAGTAGCACCCCACACTTCCACTCACCTTTCATTACCACAGCAAGTCCATGACCAAGCCTAAAGTCACTGGAGTTGGAATGTGTCGCGTCCCGCACGACATGAGCAGTGGGAGAACGAGAGGGGGCGGCGAAGGGTTAAGAAATAAAAGAAACAGCAGTCAAAAGTTAAATGAGCGTGGGGCCAAGGGTCTCCAGCCTCGTGGACTATGAGCCCCGAATCGGGCCGACATACCGCTTTTTATTTCTCCACATACCCAGAACAGCATTGTTCTCTCCACAATCTGTGAGTCTCATTCCTGAGAACTTGCTCAAGTCAAATTACCCATGCCTGCAAGCTGCTATTACCAAGAGTCCAGCCCACAGGATAAGACAGATACTCTGCCTTCACACACCCTATACGCATACACCCCAAGAAGATAAGATTATTATGCTGAGGACAGATACTATCACACCATTAGGTCACTTCCTAAGCAGGTTGAGGGAAGGAATGTAGCTACAGAGGTAGAAACTCTCCAGTCTCTTTGGGGGGTGAGTGAGGGCTCATACCCACCTCCATCAGCCCCGAAATTTCTCCTGATGGCCTCCAACCAACCGTGCCTGTCTTAGGTTGTTCCTCCCACGAGGAATCTTACCCGTCATTGACTAACCGGCCATCCTTTGGAGCCAAACAGGGAGACACAAGGTGTAT